AGATGGAAAAGCATCATCGATAAGAATGGAGACTATTTCATTTAATAAATGTTTTGATATATAATTTGTTCGGGTATCTATATCTAAAAGAAAGCGACATTAATTTTTTGACGATCTAATAGTTAATCAAATTTAACTATCCAAAGGCTGGAAGGGGGGGAGAGTTTTTAACGAATGACATGGGTGGTCACATTTAAAGGTATAGGTAAAGTAGTATTAATGTCGCATATTCATTTCTGTGTAAAAGTTTGAACCTTCGACAGTTTTTCCACGTTGAAATGTTGTTGTTATCACTCATTTCTAAACATAACTTCTCGTCAGATAACTTTCGATGTTACTATAGTGTTGAATTCACTGTTATCTTTTCACTTTTCTTTAAATAAATTAATATAAAGCTCTGATATTCTTGGCAAAAAATTAAATAATATTCAAAAGTTGGTATTAATATGCTAAGTAATGGTAACGATGAAACTTTTAAAAACCTTTATTACATACTACAGTGAAACAAGAACAACGCTGACTTATGTTAAAACTGCTTAACAGTACAAACACTACGTCATTTAAGAATGGTCATAACATAGCGGTACAAATTAATTGTTTATCATAGGTAACAATACACATGTTTATATTAGGTAACAATACACACACATTTCATTTGCCATTGTTTAACTGTTTGTAATACAAACAGTACATTAGCTAAACATATTATAGCACGAATGATAATACGAACACCTATCCTTCTGTTAAAAATGTTTAAAGCATGGGTAACGGTACTAATATTTACTTTTATTAAAATATTTATAATATAGTTATTACTACAAACGTCTCCTTCTATTAAAACTGTTTATAAAATGGATAACGGTACAAGCATCTGTTTTTGTTAAAATATTCATAATAGTACAAACATGCTTTTGCTTATTACATTTATTATATATTAATTTTTAATATATTTTATAACAGAGCAAACATTACGCCTCCAGGTGGCTCAGTGTTAATATTACACTAAAAATAGGATTTCAATGCCAGCGGTGAGCATAACACAGATAGGCCATTGTGTAGCTTTGTACTTAATGATGAACAAATAGAACATTACCTTCTATTTCCTTTATCATAATCATTAACTACACATAATAAAATCCACTTTTGTTAAAAATATATTTAGTTAACACATAATTAGTCAAAAAACGTTGGTAAGAAATATAATTTTCGGTATAGATGCTTTCAATTTCTTCAACAAAAGCCCTAATGATTTAAATGGTGTCATTAGAGTTGACATACGAGTGAGTCCTGGAGAAAGACTAAACTTCTAGCCTGCTGGAAACTTTGTTGAGAAGAGATGTCTATACAAATCAAAGGCAACATCTAAACACTCAGTGGAAGAATTCATATAATTGTACATTTTATAAACACTGATTATATAGAATACAAAATAATGAACTACATTATGCGATTTAGACATGAATAATAATAACAACAAAATGTAAAAACAAAAAGCTGGATTGATGTGAGAACGAAATTAAAACTGGCCTCAAAACTAAACTATGGATAAACGTTACAGTAACTATAAAAAATCTTCTAAAATACAGTCTAAAATACTATACAGTCTTCTAAAAAATACAAGATGTTTTACAAATGGTTTTGTTTCGTTTTTAGTTAAGCACAAAGCTACACAATGGGCTATCTGCGCTCTGCCCACCACGGTTATCGAAACTCTGTTTCTAGTGTTGTAAGTTCGCAGACCCAGCTATGCCACTGGGGGGGTGGAGGGTAGGAGGCTTTTTTAATTGATATCACGATGTGAAACATGCAGCGGTAGTACTAACGTCCAAGTTTCACTTAAAAGTGAAGAGCAGAGAGTTTTTTAATCTTACTTACAGATAGTGTGCCAAAAATCTGTTTGTTATACTTTCTGTAACAAAAAAAAAGTTGAGAAATTAATTCAGTATTCTAATAATTTGCAGGCACAGTTATATAAAAAAATAAGGTTTAAGTTATACAATAATTAGTGGTATAATAAAATATTCTGTTTTCACGTGCGTTATTCACAAACCTGACAGGTCGAGTGCTTTGGTATGTTGATCTTCTTTGGCAGAATTCTGTATATAATATTACATTTTTAATACAATTTGATTTTGGAATATTTGTTAAAGAAACATTCCTTTTTATTTGTTTTATTTATACGTTCTTAAAAAGAAAAACTGATTTCCTTATACATAAGTCACAGCTTAGAAGTTCACAGGATTATCTGTGTTACTTTCAAACCTGAAACCAAAATGGAGTTTTGTATTATTATATGTGTTATATCCATGAATGGCGGAACCGGGGAAGATTGCTTATTGTTTGTTTATTTGGAATTTCGCGCAAAGCTACACGAGGGTTATCTGCGCTAGCCGTCCCTAATTTAGCAATGTAAGATTAGAGGGAAGGCAGCTAGTCATCACCACCCACCGTCAACTCTTGGGCTACTCTTTTACCAACGAATAGTGGGATCACATTATAACGCCCCCACGGCTGAAAGGGCGAGCATGTTTGGTGGGACGTGGATTCGAACCCGCGACCCGCAGATTGCGAGTTGAGCGCCCTAACCACCTGGCCATACCGGGTCCGGGGGAAGAGCAATTGTAACCCGATAGCGAAGTGTCTCTTTCAATGGGGGCAATAAGGACTTGTGCTTTTACTATTAAAGAAAGTTGTTAATATAGCAAAAATGATTCCTTAATCGTCGGTCCCCACCCGACCACCCCCAAATTCAAAATTATTCCGTCGCCTATAGTTATAGCAAAAACTCGTAGCTTAGCAAAACTATTTTGTTAATATCTGTTATTATCGAACTTTAAACAGAAATCAATATTTGTATTATTGTATATGTGAGGCCTGTCGGAATGTACAAAACATTGGGAAGGGGGGGAGGCAGTCGTAGATGAAGAAAAATTGCGCGACAATTAATAAAAAGGCTTTA